ACAATCGTGCCATTTTTGACAGCGTTTTGCTCCTTGGACTTGGAAAAATTCTAATTAGGGGGGAGGGGGGCATAAGTGTTTTACAAACATCTCTCGTTAAATAATGTATTTAAGGTGGAATATCCCTCTGATAAGAGAGATAACTCTTCTGATAAGAGAGATAACTTTCTTCAGACATTTTGTCATGAAATTCAGTGAATTGTCATGTCAGAGTTTACAAGATTCATTCATGGGAACCATTATATAGTCAACTCAATCAAATCTATTCTATGGTACAAATGTTGATTTATAGTTTCTATTGCTAGTATGTACATTAATTATTTATAATAATTTACTTAAAACATTTATACTCAGTTCCTTTAAACAGTGTAAATTGAGAAATCTTTATCTCTTAAAGTATAATTCTTTTAATTGTACAGAAATTTCAGATGCAGTATTGTTTATAAACATTTAATTAATATTTTGTTTCATTAAAAATATTTTCAAGGGCGATAATGGAACGATAACTCTTGTTTATGGATGCGTGTTATTTTACATGCACAGAAAACAATTTTTGTAATTGTGATTTAAAAAGCAGCGCTTCAGTATGTTTTCTAATGGGAATTAGATAGGTATGAGAGTAATTATTATCTTTATATACGTATTTATACGTAGTTATTTTTGCCTCTGGTTTAACAACAGTATGAAACTACGGAGGCATTGAACAGGCAAGTTGGAAAAAAATAAGTAGTAACACAATTCAAAGAAGTTTTAACTACATTTTTTTTAAAAAAAAAACTTTATTTAAATGCTGTACTCATTAAAACACCTGTTTGTTTTCATGATACGTTCATGTCACGGAATTGCCCCGGTAATTTTAGAGGTTTACTTGTTCTGATACGTTGTATCTGCGTAAGAATCTTTAGAAAACGGGAAACAAAGCCTCGTCCTATATAGTAAGTTCGTCCTATCTTAGGATTTTTCAAAAATTAAGGCTGAAAATGAGCCTTTCGACCTATATACCCCATCGACCTATAACCCGAAAATTACGGTATACCTCATATTTCTAATTTAATTGTGAGATAAAAAATAATTAATCTTTCTATTTACCATATCAAATTTTCTTCCCATCATGATTTGACATATTATTCATTTCTGAAAAAGTAAGCAACGCTTCATACTTCAAACTATTTTCCATTTGAATTTAATGCTTTAGTTGTTGCTGAAAATCAATGTCTGGATTTTTAAAAAATAAGTCGTGAAATTTGGAGCAGAGGGATATTGCCCCTTAATTAAAGGTCATACGAAACAATGTCCTGCGTATTTTTGGTTGTATACGGAAACGAGTTCATCTGAGCAACAATTATCAACCTGAAATAACATTTGGGATTTTTTACGCAAGTTGGAGGCAGCAGAGTCGATCAGAGATACTTGACTGCGAAGATGAACTTCAACTAGGGCGGCTTATCGCCCTTTGCTTATGACGTCAATAAGACCCACTCGCTACATTCAGTACTAATATTTATATAGCCGATCATGTCTTATGCAGCGTAATTTTTAAAGAAATAGCATTGTCTTGACTAAAATTTTGCATGAATATATGATTTTACCAGATAGTGTTTGTCTTTTAACATCCTGTTGCATGTTTGCAAGATTTTAGCATGTTTTATCCGTGTAATTTATTGTCATCCTTCTACATTCTAATATATGAGTTAGAGAGAGAGAGAGAGAAAAAAAAGATGTCCAAAGAGAGCAGAACTTCTGTGCTCGAGTAATATATAAATATAGAGGCTGTCAAATTTTATAGCATTACAATTGAATGAATTTCTAACACAAAAATATGATTTGTTAAATTTCCAATAATTTTTTTTTTAAGAACGACCAGAATATGAGCACTAACGATTACCGATCGGTAGCACGCACATGTAAGTAAAGCTGGATTCGATTGACAGCGGTGTGTGAAAGTGAAACTACACCTAAGGATAAATGATGTCATTTATTAAATGATGTCATTTATTAACTGTTTATACAAATGAAATGATTCTGTGATATCGCTACCTCGCCTTCTCCTCTCTCAGTTATTCCTTATATACTCTTTGGCTTTCCCTTTCCCATTGACTCTTTCTCACCCCTTATTTTTTTTTTACCAAAGTCGGTACATTTACACATAATACTGTACTGTGTACCTTTTTTAAATCGTAATAATTTTAAAAAGTTAGCCTCGGACCTTTAAACGCAATTCTATCTATATATGTAATCCTACGTTTCTGTATGTATTTACAAATCAAATTTTCTAAATTTGTATCAGTTTTTTTCAACAAAGATTAAATTCTGCGAAAAAGAATGTTTAACTGTAAAAATATTTGATTCTTAAAATTGTTTAGGTTCAGTCTCGCAAACAGTGGACATGGGAGGGGGGGGGGGGCATGGGTTTCTTTTCAACGGATCATCTTATGCACGCACTGTATGAGTATTTTCAATATGCAGTTACTCAGTCAAACTGTTATAGAAGTATCAGTACCGTAACAATACAGTACAGGTATATTCACGTGCATACTTGTAATGCTGATAAGTTTTTAAAATCATGTTTCTTTTGAGAGCAAAAGTACGATGATGTCGTCATAAACCTCTTATTTCTCTATATCATCTTTATGAGATCTCGTCACTCAGATTGCAGAAGTGTGCATTCAAATACGCCGACTTTTTTGATATAGATCAATGTTTATCATAAACTTCAATATCCCCATGTTTAGGGAAAGGGGGGGGGGGGTACATTATGTATCATATACGTATAAAAAGAACAAGCAAGGAGATTGTTGTTTCTAAGGTATTAATTTAAAATACTCAGTACGTCATCTTGGTTGGAGTGAAAAATCTTGATTTCATCAGAGTTTTCACCAGGATCATCTTACGATGAATAGCTCTCGTTTTCAGTTGCTATGACCAATTAACGATAAGTTTAAATAGAGTAAACCGTTCTTTAGAATCAGATAGCGCATCTAAAAACATAATCACATTTATATCCACAAAAAAGACTAAAATTAACTCAAAAAAATACAGTAAAATTACACTAGATATAACGCGTTGTTTACATCAATGGGTCGTTGTGACGTCATGCAAACACAAAATCAAGAACGATAAGCGGGTAACAAATTTATCAAGTGGGAAAGTTTAGGCCTTCATTTTTCCGTTAAGCAAAAGCTAAATTTTTCTACCAAACGTAATTTAACATTCTTTCATACCAAACTTTATGTTTAAAAAGTAAAGTCCTAGTGTTATGAACTGTTTCGTATGAACTTTGCTCAGAAAAATGCACTGACGACCAAGTAACAGTACAACAATGCAATGCAGTATGAGATGTATACTCGGCAGACTTATGAAGCAAAATACCTTAAAATTTAAAGAGACCTGCGCTGGCTTTTATAGGGGATGCTGAAGGTGATTGAGAAATATGGCAACAAGGCTTTTTATAAGTAGCCTTCAGCTTTCACTACTATACAGCTGATTACAGTCAAAATATCTCAATGTAAAAATCAGAATTAACAAGATCTAGAGCCACATCACTGGGATGGGGGGGTCAGGAAATTGCAAGTTTATGAAATTTATATCATAAGCAGGAAAAAGGTTACCTTTGACCCCTCTTGACAAAAGCAGAACCCACTGGTAAACGCGAATTTGTGTGGTTTGAAAAAGTCAAACATTTAACATTTGAAGCATTAGAAATTCATGCAGTTACGCACGCGTACACTGTACGTCAAAGTAAATATTCCGTCTTTGTCATGCTGCGATCTTTTATACATTTTTCTACAGAAATATATGTTATGTTATAGATCAAACGAAAGAGATCGAAAAACTCTACAAGAATAAATAAAAAACTGATAATGTCAAAATTCTTCGTTAAGGGAGGTTTTTGCTTGGCGCGTCACATATATATATATGGAATTTGGAGGATAAAATTATATCTAAATATATTTTACTTAAATCAATAATCAAAACGCTTTATGTTCTAAAATAAAGGATTTATCGAACATAAAAAAATACATGCTAATAATTATTTATTATTACATTGATATGTGCTCTCTTATAATCCTACTGATAAATATAAAATCATGTGATTTTTTATTTGCACATTAGTTATAGCTAAGAGGTTGTTTGTATATATATACCAGTACAGATCAACCAGAAAGTAAAATACCTGACAGGTATAATTATATAATGCAGGGGTCATGTGAACTAAGTACATAGAGATATAGTCTACCTAAAGATTTGATTACATCAGGACACCCGCCATTACTGTCTGCATGAACTCAGGTAATACTTCAGTTTGTTTTACTTGTAATTCCAGTTTATGTGAGAAAAATGTGCCCACTATGAGAAGGGTGGGTCAAGTAATATAACATGACTCCATTTATTAAATTATTATTGGCATTTTGTTACCAGTAGGTCTATAAAATGCAATGTATAGACTTCAAACAATATTTTTTATGATTATTACATTCAAAATCATTATCTTTTCTTGTCAAAGTAAACATGGTGCAAAAAATAATGAAAGAAAGATTCTATTATAATTATATCAACACTGCAGCTGCATGATCACTGAAGATTTTAATTTTAACCCCTCCCTCCTCATTCAACCAAACACAAACACCCTAATACACTAAATAAAGAGTAGAACTCAATATTACTTCAGTTAAAACATTCAAATTCAGTTAAAATTTTTTAACAAACTCAGAGAGTTTTAAAATGTACATGTATTCTACTGTTATGAAAAAAACTAAAAACATGACCAGACAAACAGAAAAAATAGAACAATGTAACAAGAACACATTAATTTGTAATACTATAGTAGTATGCTTGATGATTCAGATTATTGTCTTTCTTAATTTGTAAACAAAACTCTCTTAGAGAATTATCTATTTATCGCCAGCGTGGCACAGTGTTTCAGGAGCGTCTGCTCTAGAGTCCCTAAGTGAGGATTAAAACTGGTCTTTATGTTGAGTATTCGAATCCCACTGTGCGACATGGAAATTGGTCCTTCAGATGAGATCGTACAAACAAAGGTCAAGTGTCGCAGTAGGTGTTGGGACGAAAAATATCCTTTACTGTTCAAAGGCTGTAAGTGCTGAGTATAAATAAAATTTGCAGCACCGGAAAATAGTGGACTCTTCATATGAGGGAAAAATTCTCAAGAGGGATATTTAACAACATACAAACAAACAAAATTATCTATTTATGTCATTCAAAATAATTTATATCAAAATTCAATTTCAGGCCCTCAGGTTTGAAAATGGACCCCCGTACCAGTGCCCAGGACGTGATGCGATGTGACCTGTGTGAGACCGCTGTGGTACAGTTGCACTGTGATACATGTCTTGTCATTCTGTGTACAGCTTGTATAGGAAAAAACATGATATCTGATCAATCTATCAATCACAAAGTTGTTACTTTTCAGACCAGAAAATTCACTCCCATCTAACCTTGATGTGTATCACATACCAAAGAACGATGCAAAATGTACTGTAAACATTGTGACATTCCTGTCTGCACTAAGATGAACATCTAGGTCACAAATTATCAGAAATATTACAAATTCTGGATGACAAGAAGGACAAAATCATCCAACAGCAGACTGAATGAAAAGATATGATTTATCCAACCTATCTGGACATTCTATCTGATGTTCAAAATAGAATGAGTCAGGTAGAAAAGGAATATGGAGATCTCTCAACAGCCATAACAAAACATGGAGAGGACTGGCACAGAGAAATTGACAAACTTGTCAGGAAACTTAAAGCTGAAGTTGATGAGATGAAAAGCAAACAGTTACAAACTCTACAGAAACATCTGGATGAAATAAGCAAGAACATTTCAGACATCAAGGATGAAATCAATTCACTTGAGGATGCTTTAGCCTGCAAAGACATTTCCAAAGTCTATATTGTTAAATCCGATATAGAAAAATATAGGAAGCTTCCACCAAAAATTCTACCCTCTTTACCCAAATATATTCCAGGAAAAATCTTAGTAGGAGAGCTTTGCACCCTCTTTGGATCCTTATCATCAAGTTCTTTAACATCAGATGAACATTGTTACAGCTTGAGTATATCACAGAGATCAGTAGAAGCTGGATCCTCTCCTCCAGTCAAACAGCTGCTTGATGAACCAGAGACTGTTACCATCATAAACACTAATTATGGATTCTACGGGTGATTTCTTAACAATGTGGCCTGTGTGAGTGATAAAGAAATCTGGACAAGTGGAAATTCCAGATCAGTTACTATGAAACTCTACAGCATCGATCAGGGATCTCTACTCAAGTCAATCACAACCAAATCAGGGAACAAACAACTTAACATAGCAGTGACAAAAAGTGGAAATCTAGTTTATACTGATTATGATGATGGAACTGTGAACATAGTGAAAAATGAGAAGATATAGGAAGTGATCAGACTACAGAACTAGAGACCTAAAGGTGTCTGTAGTTCCTCCTCTGGCGACCTCCTGGTTATCATGGACAGTAATGATGACACACGAGCAAAGTTGTCCGTTACTCTGGTTCAAGAGAGAAACAAACCATTCAGTTTGTTGATGAAGAAAAACCTCTATATTCAACTAGTTCTGTTAATCAAAGACACATTACAGAGAACAGGAACCTGGATATCTGTGTGTCTGATGATAAAGCAAGTGCAGTAGTAGTGGTCAATTGACAATCAGGCCGGGAAACTGAGATTCAGGTACACTGGACATACTCCTGCTCCAAAGAACAAACCATTCAGTCCACTAGGAATCACCACAGACAGTCAGAGCCACATCCTTATGAGTGATTATCGCAATTTTTGTATCCACATTATAGACCAGGATGGACAGTTCCTCTGTTACATAGACTGTGGACAGTGTTATACCTGGGGACTGTGTACAGATACAAATGACAATCTGTTTGTTGCTCAGTGGGTAGAGAATCAAGTGAAGAAAATTAAATATCTGCAGTAAAAATGCGCCGCAAGTGTAAAATATCAAAAGTGTCCGTTATTCTAGCGGGCTACACAGAAAAACAAACCATTCAGTCTGATGATAATGGAAAACTTCTTTATTCATCAGGCTCAAGTACCAAGTGACAATGGAGCTAAAGCAGTAGTGTTGGTCAATCAGGCTGGAAAACTAAAATTCGGGTACACGGGACATATTCATACTCCAAAGAACAAACAATTCACTCCTAAAGGAATCACCACAGACAGTCAGAGTCACATCCTTATAGCTGATTTTAAGAATGGCTGTGTTCACATCATAGACCAGGAAGGACGGTTCCTCTGTTTCATAGACTGTGGACTGATGAAACCTATTGGACTGTGTGTTGATTCTAATGACAACATGTTCGTTGCTCAATGTTTGAAAAGACAAGTGATGAAAATTTAATATCTCCTGTAAAAATCATCACCTATTAAATATTTTTAAAGAAATAGATCTGATCTCGTTGTGTGCAGCAATCGAACCATCCGATATCTGATAAGATCAGATGGATTTATCGATATAAATGACTTTCACAGCGTAATTTAAAGTAAAGTTGTAGATTAGATGTTGATCATTCCTGCAATTAAAAGAAAAAATGTTTGTTTTGAAAGTTTATTTTAACGCAAATTTCGCAGATCCTAAAGTGCAGTCATCCTTTTTGCAATAATATTTGCAAATTTTACTGTACAAATTTTAAGTTAATTACTCGTATATATATATATATATATATATATAATATAAATCCACACACGTATTGTTATAATAAAAAAATCACAACACCGAAATAAAACCGGTTGAGTTTATTTCGGTGTTGTGATTTTTTTTTATATATATATATATATATATATATATATATATATATATATATATATATATATATATATATATATATAATAAAAAACTTTAAAACACTTTTCGAAAGATTTCAACCGTGTAACCGGCCTTCATCAGTCGTGTTTATTTAAATGCATAGCAACTCAACAGTATTATGACGTCACAATGAACATAGAAATTGAGAGGCAACGTCATGCAATAAAATTGCGCCAAAAACATATGAAAATATTGTGAGAGCAAAAATTGTACTTGTGTTATCACAATTTTTATCATACAAAATAAAATACTAGCATACGGGGTATATTAAAAAGATGATTTTGAAGTATATATAAATGTATATCTATAAAAATAAGTATCACGATATCACACAACTATTCATAAATGCAATTCAGAGAGAGAAGTGTTCCCTTATATATATATATATATATATATATATATATATATATATATATATATATATATATATATATATATATATATATATATGATGACTGTCAAGCAAAAACCACCCTTAAGTCAAAATTTTGACATTTCGAGTTGTTCAGTGATCCTGATAGACAATTTTCTCCTCTTTCAAATGATATATCACATGTCGTTGTTCATAGACTAAATATTAGTGAAATTTTTCAATTGAAAAATACAAATTATTCGCCATGACGCTGTGTTTTATCGGATAACGTCAATTATTTTTTCTCACATTTCCATGGTTGTGTTAAAAAAACTGCACAAGAAAAATCACTTCGGACAACAAATGACATTACATAAGTGATTTTATTTAATTAAATTGTTATTGTTCCTTATATGATCGATAATTTTAGCATATTAGAAGGAAAATCAGGTTTTTATCCCCCCCCCCCCCCCCCAAAAAAAAGCGACACGAGATTTTTTTGTTTCTCTTTTTTTACAATCATCTTTGTCAATTATTTTTCTTTTTAGGGGAGTAGGTTTATTGTGCCTTTCATGCCCTTTATCTGTTTATATGGTCTATGATCGTAAAATCTCGACGGAAAACACAGATTCATCTAATACTAGAGACTTTTATACACAGATTAGATTGATGGTTTGAATGCTCTTTTGTTTCAGTTTTTTCGTCATTTTGTGATTGAACAATTTGAACAACTTCATGATCATGGTATGTCGAGTCGACCCATGAATGAAAGTTACTGTTGCTAATTGATAATACATGTATGTTGTCGATATCTAAATTTATAAGACCACAGAAAAACTTTCCTCTTTCTCCTGTAGACGAATTTGAATAAATTCGGAATACGGAAATTATGTCTGCTAATAAGAGGCATTCTGATAATAAACTTCCCTTTTTCATTTTCCATATGGTGATGCTACCTCTTTCCGGTGGAGAAAAATTTTGTCCTTTACTGGACACTTAGGGCCATTGAGCAAGTAGGGTTCTTTTTCGTGCCAGCACCAACTACGACACGGGAATTCGGATTATACGGTCTCATCCGAAGGACTGTTCTCCACATCCCGCAGTGGGATTCGAACCCGCGACGAGAGAGAGAGAGAGTATATCATTTCATACATAAATTAAATTAAGGCGTTCGTCGAGAATACTTTCTGTCCATGTGGGTTTTTTCCAAATGAATTTATTCTTTTTTGGAGCAGTTTGAGGAACAGATTCAATTGCATCTTTCTATTTATCGCGCACAAATGGACTGAAGAGCTTTATCAATTAGTAATTGTCCTTTCTGACCCTGCATTAAAGATGCATATAATACACATTGCTGCAATATAATTTATATCCAGTGTAACTTTAAATTTGGCACTAAACTTCCAGTAACTGGAAGGACCCCCCCCCCCCCCCCCCCCCCTTCTTATGTTCTGCAATTTGCACTTGCATATAGGAAGTAACATTTTTGACTGATAGCAAGTCTCCATGATTAATAAATAGCTGTTTTAGGAAAAGAATTATTTGAAAATAATTGACAATATGTTTTTACTGCTTGATTAATTATAGACGGCAATTTTGCTAAAATTAAGACAATTAAAACTTTACCTACATTCGTATATAAATTTGTGTCAGCGATGCAGATAAAAATGCAATACCAGAATTGAATTCGTAATTTGCAGTGTGGCTAGAGGCCATATTTTTTTTTAATGAAAAATAACTATCAATTTGTTTTTTTAACTCTTTTTTAGCAAATATTTTATAGAATAAGTAATTAACAGTTCATACTTACCCCTATAACAATAAATAATTTGAATGCAGGTTACTTTCCTTCATTGGCGGTATTTGTATATGTTGACATGTTAACATACATGTAGATTATTTCAGGCACATAGGAAGCGATTCATTTTTTCTCTTTTTTTTGGGGGGGGGGATTCTTGACAATTGACAAGCAATAAACATAGGTAATCAGAGATTGCAGAGCTCACCTCAACGAATGTTGTCTTTAAGTAAGGCAAATTAAGTCACACAACTATCCAACAAAAAGTGTACATCCAAAAATGAAAAATTTATGCAATTTTGATACTTTGGAATAGACCTATATAAAAACTTAAAACTAGTTCTTCATCATGAAAATGTAATTAAAATCCAGCATCTGAAGCAAGATTGAGAGTTTTCATCCCTTGATGCATCATTTGTGCAACTGGTTTATATAAGCCTTATAGTTTCTTGGTGATAGACCTGCACCCATAACTTTTACGAGATCTATTATCTGGAAAATGTATGTTGAATTCAGCATCTGAAGCAAGTCCATTAGTGTGCATCCTAAGATGTATCATCCATGCAAGTTTGGTCATTATATGTCTCAAAGTAACTTGGAAATGAAACCTGCACCAAAAACTTTAACCTGTTCACTCAACCGGAAAATGTAGGTCAGATTCAGCAACAGAAGCAAAACTGGTAGTATGCATCCTAAGATGTACCATCCATGCAAGTTTGGTCATTATATGTCTCATAGTAACTTGGAAATGAAACCTGCATCAAAAATTTTAACCTGTTCACTCAACCGGAAAATGTAGATCAGATTCAGCATCCGAAGCAAGTCTAGTAGAATGCGTCCTAAGATGTACCATCCATGCAAGTTTGGTCATTATATGTCTCATAGTAACTTGGAAATGAAACCTGCACCAAAAACTTTAACCTGTTCACTCAACCGGAAAATGTAGGTCAGATTCAGCATCCGAAGCAAGTCTTGTAATAGACATCCTAAGATGTACCATCCATGCAAATTTGGTCATTATATGTCTCATAGTAACTTGGAAATGAAACCTGCACCAAAAACTTTAACCTGTTCACTCAACCGAAAAATGTAGGTCAGATTCAGCATCCGAAGCAAGTCTTGTAATATGCATCCTAAGATGTACCATCCATGCAAGTTTGGTCATTATATGTCTCATAGTAACTTGGAAATGAAACCTGCACCAAAAACTTTAACCTGTTCACTCAACCGGAAAATGTAGGTCAGATTCAGCATCCGAAGCAAGTCTTGTAATAGACATCCTAAGATGTACCATCCATGCAAATTTGGTCATTATATGTCTCATAGTAACTTGGAAATGAAACCTGCACCAAAAACTTTAACCTGTTCACTCAACCGAAAAATGTAGGTCAGATTCAGCATCCGAAGCAAGTCTTGTAATATGCATCCTAAGATGTACCATCCATGCAAGTTTGGTCATTATATGTCTCATAGTATCTGCAAAATGAAACCTGCACCAAAAACTTTAACCTGTTCACTCAACCGGAAAATGTAGGTCAGATTCAGCAACAGAAGCAAGACTGGTAGTATGCATCCTAAGATGTACCATCCATGCAAGTTTGGTCATTATATGTCTCAAAGAAACTTGGAAATGAAACCTGCATCAAAAACTTTAACCTGTTCACTCAACCGGAAAATGTAGGTCAGATTCAGCGTCCGAAGCAAGTCTGGTAGAATGCATCCTAAGATGTACCATCCATGCAAGTTTGGTCATTATAGGGCTCATAGTAACTTGGAAATGAAACCTGCATCAAAAACTTTAACCTGTTCACTCAACCAGAAAATGTAGGTCAGATTCAGCAACAGAAGCAAGACTGGTAGTATGCATCCTAAGATGTACCATCCATGTAAGTTTGGTCATTGTATGTCTCATAGTAACTTGGAAATGAAACCTGCACAATTAAGTTTACCCTGTTGAATTAACCAGAAAATGTAGGTCAGATTCAGCATCCGAAGCAAGTCTAGTAGAATGCATCCTAAGATGTACCATCCATGCAAGTTTGGTCATTATATGTCTCATAGTATCTGCAAAATGAAACCTGCACCAAAAACTTTAACCTGTTCACTCAACCGGAAAATGTAGGTCAGATTCAGCAACAGAAGCAAGACTGGTAGTATGCATCCTAAGATGTACCATCCATGCAAGTTTGGTCATTATATGTCTCATAGTAACTTGGAAATGAAACCTGCACCAAAAACTTTAACCTGTTCACTCAACCGGAAAATGTAGGTCAGATTCAGCATCCGAAGCAAGTCTAGTAGAATGCATCCTAAGATGTACCTTCCATGCAAGTTTGGTCATTATAGGCTTCATAGT